AGAATCCCTGCTAAAAGTCAGAGCTGCTTGCAGGGAGGAATCTGTTCATTCTCATTCAGGTTTTGTTTCAAATCTAAACTATGTAAAAACAGTTACTGCAGATTCACCCAGGTGATGCGTTTTGAGGTTAACTTGCACTACTGATAGTTTTTTTGGTGTTAATTTGAAAAAAATAGATGTTTTGTAGACTCAATGAGATTTTTTTGTTAGATGAGTTCCTTGGAAGAAGAGCCTTCCCAAATACATCAGAAGTTTTCTGATATCCATGGGGATCTGTTGAAAGATCTTTTTCAATGAGGTTTGGGTTGGTTCTGCTTGCCTTTGTGTCGTTCCAAAGGTGTTGTATAAAGTCCCAGCAAAACTACATGCATTGATGTTTCTTCCCAGGAAATCTTGATGACAAACAACACAAAGGTTTAAAGCTGCTCACAGGGAGAAGTTCTGTTAAAACTTAACTGGGGTATTAGAAAAATCTGCAAGGCTATTCAACTGCTTTGTCTTAAAAATACCACAGTTTTTGTTTTTGTGAACAATTCATTTAAAAACTTTCATTAAAAATTCATTAAATTAAATTAATGKGAAGGGATTATATTTGCTTGCTGGAATGAAAGCCATTGCCTGCCTGATACCTTTGAATATGTAATGTCTTGCCTTTTTTTTTTTTTGGCAGAAGAGTTGCAAAGCATTTCTGGTTACAGCCTTTTTTAAATGAGGGAGTTCTGGTTTGGCTGGATTTTTCTACAAGGTGCAAAATAGGGGAGGATGTCCTTTATCAGATTCTTCCTCRAAAACAGCAGGAGTCAATAAATGAGGTTTTTTGACACTGCATTCTTTGTAAGCCAAACCAATGAGTGTTGGCCTTTCTCAGTGGCAGATGCTGACATATCTGATGAGAAGTTTTTTGGGGTTCATCATTTCAGTGTMATTTGGCCCTTTGTAGTGGCTCCTTTTTTTTCATACTCACTAATATTGCATTACAAAATAAGTAAATATCAGTGTTTTTCCTCTTTTTGCTTCCTAGTGARGTTCCTTTGTTCTGGAGAGCGATTTCTAATTAACTGAGGGATGTACTGAGCAAGCTTCTCTCTTCCACTCAGGACGCCTCAGGAAGGCTCTTTCTCTCCTATCTCCTCTCCTCGCACTGCTGGCTGAAGCCAGTCTCCCAGACTCCTGAAAATTGCCTTTTTTTTTTTTGCTAATATGCATTTAAATTACTCTGCTGCCACAGGCTCAGGAGTTGTCTGAGCTGAGCTGCCCCTGGAGTGGAGCGTCCACGCTGTGCCAGGCTGGGGTTCCAGCACATCCTGTCCTTTTGCATTAACCTGGGGCAGGCATTTTGTGTAAAAGGAGCTGGATATGGACTCCAGTTCATGCTTTGCCCTTGCTGTGCTCCTCTTGATATCCATGGTTAGGATATGTGAACATGCTGTGCTGAGGTAAGGCAGAGGGGCACACGCTGTTCCTCAGTTATTGAGTGCACATTCTCACTTCTGGGCAAATTGGAGGTGGTTTCTGCTCTCATGGGCACTGACTGCCACACAAGAGGATGCACAAAGGTTTTCCATGCTCTCTGCTTGTTCCTGAGCTCACCTCCCACTGCAGCTCACAGTCATTTGTGTGCTCTCATCCTGAGCTCTGGTGTTTGGTGTTGGCTGTTGGAAGCCCAGGCTGTYTTTGAGGAAGTTTAGTGCACTTGAAAAGTTTTTGTGATGTTTTTGGAAAGCCCTTCAGGGTTCTGATMTGGGTGCACAGCTGTATAATAATCATAATGCTAATAATTATTAATAAATAATGATGATGATAATAATAATAATAATAATACCTTGTCCCCCCCAGTACGGGCCGTATTCGGAGGCGACCGAGGTCACCACGGCYGCAGGACCCCCAGGCCAGTGCCGAGCACCTTCCCTGTCCTTCCTGTCTGACACACGAGTCCTGGTGAGCTGGGAGGTGAGTCAGGTCCCTGCTGCCTTAATTCCACCTTGCTTATCACCACAAAACTCAAAAGCGAGCTTGAGAGCTGTTTGCTGGTCTGGAATTACCTTTTAATGCAAAGGAACTCTAGAAACGATTCTATTGCAGAAAATCTTCTCTATTTCTCTCTTTTATCATGAGTCTTCCAGACCAGGATTCAGACACAAGCCCTCCTGCACTGGCAGCAGATGATAGAAGTTCTCTCTGCAAGCTTTTAGCGCATCAACATGTTCTGAGTTGGAATTATGAAGACAAATATTTGATTTTGGCTGAAACWGGAGTCTCTGATATGAAATTAACTCTCTACACAGTGTAGGGCTTTTTCCCCCTCAAAAACTGTTTGTCTCTTCCCCAAATATTTACTTTTATTTTAGTTTGTGTGCATTCCTCCTCCGTTCTACAGCATCTTAGGCACTGGACTCAAGATAAGTGTTAGCTGTGGGGATGATCAGTGCCATTAAAGAAAAAATGTTGTGTAATTAAGGCAGGAAAGAGAGGCTGTTACCACAAATAACATTGTGATGTGGTTCAGTGGGGCTGTAGTTCTGCCACAGACTTAAAATGAAAACCTAGCAGCCATTCCAACCCTGTTTCTCTTGAGTTGCTCCCCAAAATAATGCCCCTGGTGAGAAATAAGTCATTGACACTCACTCAAAATGCTCAAAGAAATGGATTATGCTAACAACATACCTGGATACAAACATAATCTGCAAAATCTTTAATTTTATAAGAAACAGGTGTGTTTGGTGCAGTTTGGAGTATTAATATTTTTTGCAACTGGAAATCTCACTAAACTTTCAAATGCTACCTTTTAATGCTCAGGGATTTGCTCTCCCCAGCCATGAGGGGATGCAGCAGTGGCTGTAGTAGGCTCTCTATTTATTTGAAGGATATATTTATTTATTCTAGCTAAAAATGAAGCTGTGGTTTGCAGTGGTTACGTTTTCTTAAAGAGTGTCGATTTTTGGCTGATAGGAACAAGAAGCAAGAACAGTGAAGCACTGTGGAGTGTGGCTAGRGAGCATACTGTGATGCTTTTTTCTTACACATTGTTCTAAAATCTGGCAGAGCCAGAGAAGCCCCTGTGCCTGTGCAGGGTGTGCAGCAAGGCTCTGCATCCTGGCCCTGGAAATTACACCCTGCCAGCAGTGATCACAAACCCCTTTGGGCCACACTTCTGCAGGCAGAGCAGCACTTCCCTGAGCTGCTTCAGGCCACACAGCACAGCTCTGGGTGGTTCTGCTAAAAACACTAAATATTTGSATTTGGGAACTGTGCTGTATTGGCTCATCTCCAGCACTTTCAGGCATTCATTTTGTGTTCCCCTAAATAAAGGGATARATGCATGGAAGAGACAGGTTTAGATTAGATATTGGGAAGAAATTCTTTATTGTGAGACACCAAAACAGGTTTCCCAGAGAAGCTGTGGCTGCTCCACTCCTGGGAGTGTCAAGGCCAGGTTGAATGGGGGTTTGGAGCAGCCTGGGATAGCAAAGGTGTCCCTGCCCATGGCTGGGGGTGGAATGAGGTGATCATAAAGGTCCCTTTCAACCCAAACCATTTGATGATTCTGTGATCCCATGGGAGTCTCTTTGTGGGTGTGGATGTGCCAGGACCCACCCTTTTGTGTCCCATYCCACTGAGACCCTCAGGCCAGCTCCTCCCTTGTTGAGGGTTCTTTTTTCAGCACATGGGTGATGCTTCAGGCTCAAAAGGCCAGTGCTTCCAGAGCTGTGTTTTTATCTCCCAGCTACGCTGCACCTGATTGATGCTTTTTTTGTGCTCTCCACGGCTGAGCTTCTGCCAAGCCAGTGGAGAGACAATTTATTCCTGAGTGTCCTGATGAAAAGCAAAGTAGCTGCGTACGCTCACTCATTTCTCTGAATTTCAATCAGGTAATTTTTGTGCAGAATTGTCCTGTTTCAGCAACCTCTTAGGGAACATTAACTCAGTACATTTCCATTTGCTGCAGTAATGGTGTATTAATTTAAAAATAAGGGTGGTTGTTGGGTTTTTTTCCCATGTACTCTATTCCTTCCCCACTGAAGCACGGCGATCCGAAGTGCTCGTTTCTGAACTGAACYACATAAATATTTGTGTTGCAGAGTCCTGAATGTTCTGGTGCTGACATCTCTGAATACAGATTAGAGTGGGGAGAAGAGGAGGAATCTCTACAACTTGCATACAGCGGCACAAAAACCTGCTTTGAGATCGGCGACTTGTCGGCGGCAGCGCATTACTGCTGCAGGCTGCAGGTACTTCCACTGCTGGAAGGAAARCTTATTTTTATCATTAGCCCCTCTGGAGTGCTCTGTAAGGCAGGAGGAATGCACATTTATTTTAAGCAGTGCAGAGTGATGTGTTGCTTCAAAATCGTTCTGGTGTTTTGTTATTTTCAGTGAGTAATGCATGTAAAAGCCACCTCGCCCTCTGACACCAAAACAAAATGGTAATGGTTCAGAAAATTAAACAAACAAAACATTTTTTTAATGATAAATAATATCTACCACCCAACTGGGTATTGAAGATTCTCCTGGCTTCAGTAATGAGCTCCAGCATCTGTTTAATTTATCAAGTAAAGCAAAGATAGATTGATATGGGTAGATTCCTGTGTGTACRGGAGATGGTACCTGCCAGAAAGTGAGTTCTCACCTTTGCCATTTTGTCTCTTAGATTTGTAAGATTAGATCTCCTGAAGTCTCTGTATGCTTTCTTTGATCTCRTTCTCTCCTATTATTTTCAGAAAAAAGTAGCAGTTAAAATATATTTTATATATCCCTATGAAAGTGAAAATACAGGACTTTCCATCCTTTATATCTACTGAGAAATAAATGGAAGGTAATGCAAGTGGGGRTGAAGTAAAAATATTTTTACCCAAGATACTCTTCCACAAGATATATTTGTATGTGAAAGCAGAATACCACCACTAATCCAACCCAAATACCCACCCAGCTGGTAACATGTGGACCACCCAGGGGAAGTTCTTTGATCAAGGACAACATGCTTCTGTCAAATGTTTCCTCCTTATATTTTTTTTTTTTTAAACAGGATATTGAATTTTTTTTTTATTTTTTGGGAAGAAGGTTTCGAGGAGCTGGCCAGCAGCCCAAGAGCTCAGATCCCACAGCTCCAAGTGCACTCAAATGTATTTTGTGACTTGGCCAGAGCTGGGYTGTACCTTGCTCTGGCACTGGGGGAAAAGGAGAATGAGGGAATGTGTGAGTGGCTGGGAAGTGTGAGCCAGAAAGTGCCTCTTGTTTCTGCAAAAGGGAGAGCATTCAGCATCTTCTGGGCCAGGAGGAGACACTGAGACCACTGCTGTGGGGAGACCAAGGAAAATTTCATGTTAAAAATGGAAACAGCCAGCTGTATGGCATCTTTGATTTCCAGTGGGTCCTTATTCCAAACTGCCTGCCACAAAAATGTTGCACAAATCTACTCAGTTTTGAGCACAGCCAGTATAATTTAATCCATGTGAACAAGAGCAATGAGACATTTTATTAAAGTCCATCAGTRACTCAGGCATTACTTTCTAGAGAGCTTCATCCTCTGGGTCTGATTACTGTATTATGTGGAGAAGAGTTTCTTACAAGATACACTGGAATCTTTAAACAACTGCACACAAAATACCCCAAAAAAAGATGTGTAACAGACAAAGTTAAATAGTATCAGAAATTTTACTTTATTTTTAAAAAGAAAAGAGGGAATAATTGCTGTTTTTCTTATCTGTTAGCAGCTTGAATAGAAAAATCTTTTCCTCTTCAAAAATAAAGATTCTCCAAACCACATTTATTCAGCCTCCTAATAAACACACAGTATTGCTATCTCAATCTACAGTAACTCAATAAAAGAGGGAATTGAGACATCAGGCATATCTAACTGCAGGGCAGACAATTGTCTTTACTGTTGCTCAACTTCTTTCCTGTAATGAATATTCCTGAAAACATTAGTGGCTTCTGCAAAGGGAAATRTTGTGTCATTTGGGGGTGGTGGGGGAAGGCATCTAGGCAGCAAAGCCCCATCAGTTATGGTGATGAGATTGTCCAATAAAGCAGCTAAAAAACACCACTGACAATAAATTGCTTGGAGCAAGATACAAATTGCCAAATTCTGGTTTAGGGGCAAGACAAATCATATCAATGGCAGAGCACAGCACAGGGCTCACTTGTAACAGCTCAGGGAACGCTGCACTAAATAGAAGATTTCCCTGGAGCAGGATTTGTTTTGAAGGGCTTTTTAAAGGCTGACAAATCTAACTTTATTATCTCTTTCTTCAATTGAACCAAACGCCTCCTGGAAAAAACAGAACACAGCTTTGTGTTTGTGTTATGCAGAGCAGAAATAAGTTACTGCAGTTAAACATGGATAAGAAATCAAACAGTTGTTTGATGAGTCCTGTCATTGCTATCGGAGTCCTACTGGCAAAGTTGTAAGCCTGGATTTTTGAATTAATTGTAATCTGATGGGAGCCTCTGGGGTAACTTTTCCAAATGTAAAGGAAGTGTGGATGGTGGAGGGTGCTGGGCAGTATCGAAGCTGTTTCTGGAGGTTTCTGCACTCCTGTAATTTCTCCTGTACCGTGTTCTMTAAGCTCTTCCCATTCCTTGTGTTCTGGAAGGATGCTGGGCTGTGCCAGGAGGAGCCAGCAGATCCAGGGATGGTGGTGTTGCTGTTTCTGAGAACCTGGAATGCTGCATCCAGTGCTGCTCCAGGCACAGGCTGAAACAGGGATGTTCAGATGAGATACAAAGAGAAAAGTTAACACTGTGCAGGCAGTTGAGGATCTAACTGTGGTCCAGAGGGGCTGTGCAGTCTAAATCCTTGGAAYTTTTCAAGRCACAACTGGAAAARAAGCCTGAGMAGCCTGGTCTGACCCTGGCTGGAGTAGCAGGTTGGACAAGATGTGTCCCACAGTCCGTTCCAGCCATGTCGCCTGTCACTGGCAGCATGACTCTGACATTTTCCCTTACCAACCAATGTTTGCCAGTGATAAAATGGTTATTAAATATCTATTAGGGAAAAGAGAAATATTCTCCATTTTTTTCTAAGACATTCCTGAGTGGCAGAGGAAGATGCTCATTCCTTAGGATAGCAGAGGTGTGAGTCATGCTTTAGAAACGAATCCAGCAGTGCATATCCGTATCCTCTGAAGAATTCATCCAGCTCTCCCAGGCTGTGCAMAATCCATCATTACCAACTTGTTGCATGTGTGAGGGAGATAATTTTTATAATTTATTAAAGGAATATTTTTTTATTTTACCACCCAGGCCATCAACCAGGCTGGAGCTGGGCCCTACAGCGAGCTGGTGTCCTGCAGAATCCCCGCCTCCGTGCCTGATGCTGTGTCCACCCTGTGGGTGCTGGAGGAYGAGCCCGTGGGTGCCTGCCAGCCCTCACCCTCTGTGTGCCTTGTTCTGAGCTGGGAAGAGCCAAGCAATAACGGGGCTGAGATCACCTCCTACAACATCGACCTGGGAGATGTCAGCATTCCCGTGGGGAACGTCACGAGTCACGTCCTGGAGGGATTGCTGCCCGAAACCTCGTACCGGTGAGTGCCTGTGCTGCTTTGACACAATAAATGCTTGTGGCATGGAGAGGAAATTGAGATGCAAACCAACAGCCCAAAAAAGCCAGCCTAGGGAGCACAGAAATCTGCAGCCATTCCTTGATGGAGTGAATCGTGGTAGTTCACGTTCACATATTGTTTTCTCCCACTTTTTTTTTGCTCTATCTCCTGTCCTTGCATTATCTCTGACCTCTCCTTCTTTTCAAGTTGGTCTGCTCCAGTAAGATCACCCTGGTAATAACAAATGTTAAAATAAATAAATTTTTAAAATAAGAAACAACTAAATCAAAATATTACATCTGATAGTTTTTCTGCTACTTAGTAGTACTATTCCAGAGGTTTCGATTATTAAGTTATTGATCCCTGTGCAGGGTTAGCAGTTTTCACACAATGAACTTCTATTTGTGTAGCTACACCTATTTTTTCTCTCTCATTTTTTCTCTCTGGTATATGGAGATTAATGAAAAGATAATCTGAATTTAAACACAATTTATATTGCTTCAGAGTCTAAATTRCTAAGTGGGATTGCCAAAATTTTATTATTTTAATGATCAGGCTTATATGTTTTCTCCCTAATTGCTAATTAAAAATGAAAAATGGTTCCATGCAGGCAATGAACAGCAATACAACAGAAGATGTGACAAAAGAAATTCTATTTTAAGTACTGTTCTAATAATCTGATCATGCTGTTGTAAAATTAGATATGGCCCAGACTTGCTGCAACATTTTTCTTTTTTTTACTTTGTACTCAAGGTCACAATCCTACAGGTCTTGTACGTGGTAAGTTCATAATTCAGATTTTATCCTGTACCCAAAAAAAAGAGAACTTGTTGTGGCAAGGATACAAATACTTACAGAGATTAAAAGTTATTTAAAGTGAGGAGCACACATTGCTTGCTCACAGATCATCCATGTAAAATTGAATGARTTTGTCTATGGGTTGGTCACCCAGCTGTGGAAATGCATCATCTTTGGGCACTCTTGTGTTCCCTGTTTCTCCTCATATGTTTGTCCAATCAAGAGCCAAAAAAGCTGAAAAGGAAATTTGAGCAACTCAGTCAAGACAGAATGTGCCATTTAAATTCTTCACCCAAATCTTACTTCTTCAGTCTCTTTTTTAGCTGCTTCTTGATTCTCCACAGTTTTCTTTAAGGAAGTGTCGTTGTCTTCAAGGCCTAGAAATGGAGATTGCAATGATTTAAATTTTTTTTGCATTCTTATTTCGTTATTTTGTGAAAAGCACCATGCTAAGTCACATCGTTTTAGTCAGGGATTCTGTCTGTCTCTGATCCAAATGAAACGGCTAAAGCCACAAGCATTAGCTGTTCTAAATATTGTTGTAAGACTAAGTTCCTACCCAAAAAACCCTACTGAAGAGCGCAGACCCAGTGGATGACTGATCAGAAATAATAATGTAGGAAAGCTCTTTTCTTGAATAAAATGGGAGAAAGAAACCCCAAATCTTCCATCTCTTGACTATCTTGGGAGACAAGTGACTGCTGCTGGATTGCAAATGCATCTCTTCTGTAGTTTGAAGTATTATTTTGTTAATCAAAAATAGCAAGTGTTGTGACCATTAACTTTTTCATTGACATTTCTTCATCAAGCATATCTTGACACATCAGGGAATGTCTGCTGTGATCAAAAAATCCTTAAGGAACAGGATGATTGAGCTGTGTGCTAAAAGTTGGTGCATTTTCTGCCCTCCCTGGTTTAATCAGAAGAATATTTCAGAACATCCCTGATCTCATTCCCTACATTTCTCCACTGATGATTCTTTTTTTCGTGTCAGTTTTGTTTAACACAGCTCACTCTTCTGCCTCTCAAGTGTTTATTCCCTGCTGTGTTTAAAAACAGTGAACATATTTTTCCTAGACTAAACAAGCCAAGTACTACTGGGTTTGAGACTCTGAACTCTCTTGCCAAAGTTTGAGCAGAATTTGAAAAGGAAATCAGCAAAGGGATTTTATATTTCAGTTGAGTTGGAATTCTACTGTCAATGTTTTTGGTCGTGGGAGACCAAAATTGAAAGCAAATCTTGGTTATTRTGAATCCAGCAAGTCCAGAATTGGAAATTTAAATGGTTTTGGATCTGGGGGTGAATTCTGACATCCTGTCCATGTGTGTCCACCCTGCTGGAACTGTTGGCTTAGGTCTGGCATTGCTTTGGGAATGTGGGAATGGCTGTGGAGGAGCAGCCCAAGGATGCACAGAGGAAGTTCTGTGCAGAGATGGGGTCAAAGCTGACAGGATGGATGCTTGATGTGTCTTACAGCAAATTCAACCTGCATGAGCAGGATTTCCATCCCAAAGTGCATTTGAGGCAGGAGGAGCTGGAGCACAACTCTGTGACACTGCGAGTGGCCCCCCAGGGCTGAGTGCAGGGGACTCAGATGCCTGTCCCTGCTCTGTGTGAGCATCCTGCAGAAATGTGTCTGAGCTCTGCAGTCCCTCTGCTTTATTGACACAGCCACCAAGCTCTAGAAACTCCCATTATAGGGTAATACACTTGGCCTGSTTTGCCGTGAGCTGATGTAACTAGGAGTGAGTTAATAAATATTCCACAATAARTAAGTATTCAGCAGTCACAGAAACACCAATTTTCTGTTACACTCTGTTCCCAAGCTTCACTTAACACATTCCATAGATAATTGTGCTCTGCTGTTGAGATACTTCACTGCAAAACAGTTTCCAATTTTAAGAATTCTTCTTCTCCTCTGAAGTTACACAGTGTACAGAAATATATCGTTGCATTACCAGATTTTAATAGCAACACCTAATTTGGTTTAGAAATAAAAATTCTAAATGTTTTAAATTTTTAAACCTTATCAAGGAAAAGGTCATCYAAGATGGAGAGAAAAATGCATGTGGATGCTCAAATCAGCAAAGTTTAGGTAGGCTATAAAATAGAATATATTTCAGAGTGAAAAACTAAGCCTTCTTCCAGGAGTCTGGAGCAGGGATTTTTGGGSCAGTGTGTGATTCTGTTCAATGTCCAGGCTGCTGCTGGTGGAGGATGCTGCTTCCCCTCCCCTTTGGAAGTCCAGGGCWTTTTAACTCCCACAGGTTTCCACGTGCATTGCAACTGGAGCCATTCCTCTCATGGGAACTGGGGAATCAAAGTCTTCTCATGTCAGACTCTCAAATTAATTCAAAACTTGATTTTTCAGTTTGTTGGAATACCATACAAAGGATTTTGTGACCAATCTGAAAATAGCATCCTGTTTAGTGTGTTTATTTCCCTGGGTCAAGAATCTTTTAAGAGAGAAAGATCTGTTAAAGATCATTCCATGATTTCTAAATTAGCCTAGTCTGATTTATGGTTTTTCTTTCTAAATGTTYAAAAGTTGTAGTGGGAAAATGTGAGAATGAATACAAATATTATTGGTCCAGGGTCTGCAGAATTAGGCATTGTTCCTAAATACAGTCTTTACAYTTTCAAAAAACCTGTTGTCACATTGTGATTGTCAGATTGTTAAACCGTCTTTCTTTCCAAGAGGATGTTTGGGGTATTTTCACTTAGAAACCATTAATGGAAAAGTTGAAAGGAATTCAGGAAGTGGTTTCACTGCAAGTATTTCTTTCCAGTCTACTTGTCTATGCCATACTTTTACATGAAAATAATTGTTTTTTCCCTGTAGCAGTTCTGTAAACATTAATTGKTTTCCACTTAATGGTGGATGTTCCCTTGCCCACCCTGGCAGTGCCACCCAGCTGGAAGAGCTCAGTGTCAGGCTGGGGCAGGGATGTGAAAAAGCAAATCTTAATCTCTGARCTGGAGCAGAGATGGTGCAATATGAGGTGTTCTCCCTCCACATGGTCTTCCTTCCTCCCTTTTCTGTTTCCCCTCTTCCTTCTCCCCTTCTTTTTGGACTTTAAAAGCCTCATATCCATTGAGGAGATGCTGCTGGGATTCAGAGAGAGGTGACACCTGGGTCTGGGCTATGCTGCCATGTGCACAGGAAACACAAAATCAGTTGTTTGTGTGTGTCTGATGGAGCTCAGCCCCTGCGAATGGCAGTGGCAATTTACAGAGCTTTACGGTGGCGCAATCAGCAGGAAAGAGTGGCCACATCAGCCATGGTGGAGTCAAATAAATCAATTCCTGCTTTCCCAGTGCCATCGTTCATTTGTGAAGATGCCTGTCTCTGTTTTGAGGCTGAAGAGTTTCCATCACTGAGCTCCAGAGTCAGATGGGCTGGGTGTGTGAATATTTGTGTGTGTCAGAAGGGGGAAGCAAGAACTCTGTGCAGCAGAGGAAAGCAAGAAAAAAGGAGTGAAGAGACACATTTTTTACCTTGTGCCAATACCTGGCAATAGCAAGGCAACTAGACACAGGTGTATGTTCATGCATATATMTAAAAAGCACATTATCAGTTTTTAAATTAATTTCACTCACTGCTTGTCTTCAGGTGTGGTGGCTGCCATTTGRAAATCAGCTGAAGTTACAGTGCTTGAGGGCAGGAGTTTACCAAAYAAAACAAAAACAAAACAAAAGTCTGTGCAGTCCCGAGCATGTTGCTGTAATCARTCTGCAGAAAGAGTGGTAGCATTTTGTGATAGAGCTGTTATTGTTTATGTGTGTATGCTAATGGATACCTTGCWAGAATCWGGTGAAAATTCAGGCAGGCTTTGGGGTTTTTTTGTTGGAAATACCATTAAATATTGRTGCAATGACTCTTCAATCTAAAGCAGACCAATAACATAATGTGAAGTAAGATCAATGTTTTATATTAATTGGACTTTTTCAGACCCTAGAAAAGCCTTTGGTTCTTTTTATGTCAAATGCTTGTCAGCAGCAGTCAAAAAGGAGGCTCCCACTGAATTTTTGTGCCACCCACCCTCAGGGAAGAAGGGGATGAATGTGGTGTTGTAAGGTGGTCAGACTTTATTTGCAATATATTTGTTAATTTAACCCTTTAGGTTCTTGAAATGCAAAAAATTCAATTTGGTTTTTTTTTTTCTAGCGGGGAATATTTTTTCCCCTATTCCTTTAACATTCTTTTCCTGGTGGTAGAGCTGAAAACTTGCTGTTCAAAGYGAAGTAATTTTTCATATGTTGTTTGTGTGAACTTGCAACACTTTATGTTCTTCAGTCAAAATAAGTAGCTTTGCCAAGCGAAGACAGTTCTTGTGAATAGTCTTTACCCATGAGAAAATAGAAGGCTGCTGTGCACAGGATTTCCMAAGTAAATGGCATCTCTCCAGCTATCTAAACTAGGCTGAACTATCTTAAAAAAACCGAATTCATTTTCTCCATCCTGATTTTTCTTATTTTGACTTTAAYGAACTTTTGAAACCTTTCAGGCTCATCTGTACCAGTATTTCTGCTTACATGGTCCTCAGAACTGTTTAGAAATGGAAATTTCCCATTTTTGTTATGGTGCTGTTGATGTTACCATAGTCAGTCACCTCCAGAAAGCTCTTCCCTTGTGATATTTTTATATCCAGAATCTCATGAACGCACTTTAACACTTCTCTTTTTACTGTTTGTTTTAGGATCAGGATCCAGGCTGTCAATGAAATTGGAGCTGGACCTTTTAGCCACTTTATTAAAGCAAAAACCAGGCCATTACCACCCTTACCTCCACGGCTGGAGTGTGCTGCAGCGGGGCCTCAGAGCCTGAAGCTCAAGTGGGGAGACAGCAGCTCCAAGCTTCACTCTACAGATGACCTGGTTTATATCTTGCAGTTAGAGGACAAAAATAAAAGGTGAGAGAGAAATGGATCTTTTCCTTGGGCTAATGGAAAGGAATTCTGGTTCATCATAATGCAGTTGTGCATGGGAGAAAAATGTTTTCCTGATGCTTCGTGCGTACGAATATGTGCAAAATAGTGTTTTAATAGGGGTTCTGCAAAATCCTCTGCCTGTAGTCTGAGCAAGTCATGTAGCAGAGCTGTAAATTATATAGAATTGTGGAATCATTAAAGGTTGGAAAAAAACTCAAAATCACTGAGTCCTGCCATTAACCTAACACTGCCAGGTCTAGCAGAAATCAATCCTGTACTGGTGRAATTTCAGCAGAACCTTGGCTTCTCTGCCAGTAAATTTAATATCRAGTTTCATGGCCACTGTGCTGTACCTTTTGGAATATAGGAAACAAAGAYACTGCACCCAGCTTGCTGTGTGTATTAATAAAACCAAGGGTTACAAATCAGAGGTCTGGGAGAGGCAAAAATTGGCAGAACAATGTTTTTTGGGCAACATGGTGGTCACGGTTTTATGGCTGTRATGTTTTACTGCATTAGAAAATACGAGCTTGGCATCAGCTTGGTAGCTCCACAATAATTTTGAAATAAGATGTGCAAGAATAAAAAAAAATTTGTGTTGAAACAGTGCAAAGTAAAAACTATCTTCCAATATGAATTTTGAAGAGTTGCTATTGTGGCTCCTGAGTTGTGATGTGATATATTGAATTAAAAAAGGGAAGGAAACAAAGACAATATGCAAGTATTGCCTGACAGTCTGAGCTCTTCAATGAATAAATATCRTAGATGGCTCATAATTTACTGAGAAACACTCTCAGCTACTTCAATTAGGTAAAATAAGTGACTGATCGAGTAGATAATCCTTGGAGACCTTCAGCACAGATCATAATTTGATGTGAATTAGCACAATTCCTTTAATTTAAATAGAGCTGTGCTGAGTTKATGCCAGCTGAAGGTCTGGCCCAAAAGCTCTAATTTCAAATAACAAACCCACCATGAATAATGCCTTGATAYCTCCCAGAATCACAACTGTACTGATGCAGGGAGGGTATCTGCTCCTCTGTATTAATCCTGAGAGGTGCCCAATGAATATAAACATCCATTTGAAACTCTGACTGGTGCAAACAAATCCCTCAGAGTGCAGTGGTGCTTGGCAGGAGCCCATCCCTGCAGCTCCCTGGGATTCACTCAGCTCTGGAGACACTTCCAGCAGCTGCTTTGCTTTGCTTTCATGTAGAACTGCAGGTAGGGTGGCAAAGAGCTGTAAATTGTTTTTAAGCTGTCTTTATGCTGGGGGAAACAGTGAAGTTTCCTTGTAAGAATGAAATGTTACCTTGCAGAAGCATTTTCCTCTTTTGCTTTGGCATGAGATTTTAGTGTGATCCTTTGCTTTTGCACAGGCTTTTGCCACTGCAAATGGTCTCTCAGRAGTTGTTATTTAGGAGAAATTTGAWTGTAGTRCTCTGCTGATCTTCTTAGCTTTGAGTTTGGCTTACAGTCCATGTGAGCTCCCAGAGRTGCAGGGAAGCCACTCCTCTGCATTGTGCTGTCTCCTCCTGCTTGATCAGAGCCCCTGCAGGACTTGGCTCCCTTTGGTGGTTGGGTTTGTGACAATTAGCTCAGATAATGCCTGGAATGAGCCAGGGCTGGGGCTGATGGATCCATCCTGGGTGGGCACAGCAGAATGGGATGGGTGCAGTGATGTGTTTGAGAGCAGCCCTGGGACTGACCAGCCCTCTCTGGTGAAACAGTGGCACAGAAAAAATGATCTAGAAGGATGTTTTGGCATCTTTTATGGTTTGAAGCATTGTAGGAAGGTGCCATGGTGTCCCCTCCATTGGGAGAAGTGATGGTTCTTGATTCAGGGGAAGAGGTTGTGTTTTAAACATGGATAACTGAAAAGTGACCTCAGTCATATCCCTGGTCTTTCAAAGGATATTGTTCCTATATTCCCTGGGACATTGAAATTACTGATAACACCAWTATATTGAAATCCCTCAACTCAGTATTACAGTTGTCCCATCTTTGGTTTAAAATCGAAGTTACCTTTGAAATGCTGTTGAAGCATTTTCATCAGCAAAAATACAAAGATGAGCAAGTTMTTCTGAAAAAAGGAAATAATCAGTGAGTCCCAATGGCTTTAATGGCTTTTTGGTAAAGAATCAGCTCTGGTTTTATGTAATGATAGTCAGCCAGTGCTCTCCAGYGTGTCCTGGTCATTAAGGATTGTTTTTAACTTTTCTTTTCCGTAATGAGGTTTAACAGGCCAGTTGTTGGAGACCAAGTGTTTCATTGATTGCAAGAYCTGTGAAGCAAAATACTTGGAAATYTTCTGCCACTGATTAGTGTGAGGGCTTGAGGAGATGTGCACATCAGAGATGTACCTGTGTTAGCTCCCATTAGTTCTTCGGGGTGTGACATTTAGGGAGATGAAATTAGCATCACTTGTCCTTTCAATTATGGGTAGCATTGAGTGGAAACGAAGAAAAATCTGTTTCTGGAAAGCTCAATACATAGAAATGTTAGTTGAGAGTAAGTGACCTTTATGTAAAGAGGATGATGAAATTCCTTTCCTTTTTTAAATAAACCAGCAGGTTTGACTTCGTTTTCTAATTGTGGTAATGTCAAGAAATTTATGTTAACCAAATTGCACTGGTTTCCAGAGTACTATGGATTTTTCCTCTCTATGGAGCAAAGGAACCTAATTAATGCCTTTTTTTTTTTTCTACTGCACTGGTAATTAATCTTTAGTTGTTCCTACTACTAATTACACCTCTTAGAGTCTTAAAATGCTCACAATATCCATTCTGAAAGGGAGAATTAGCAAGTCAATTAGTAGTGGATCATTTATCAGTTGCTTGTGTTTCTTTGAGACGACTGTATGTTGCAGTTGAGGTAAATTCTGTGTTTTTTGTGTGTGTGCATAATTACAGTAAATATATATAATTATACTTTAAGGGAGAGCCATTGGTAAGGTTGACTGAGAAACATCCTAAACATATTCTTTAAAAATATGATGTAATGACTACTGACAATTCTCCCACACTTCAGTTGGTGGTAGCAGGGAGTGGTGGAACATATGAGCCTCAACMTGGGGGTTTGCTCTGCTTTAATCTGGAGGAAGGTGGAATAGAAACACAGAGGGATCAGTTGCTRAATGTGCTGCCCTTGCCTGATGACTTTTGCATAATCATTCCCTGGTTACTGCAATTTTCAAGCAGTCTAATTAAAAAATTGTTTACACTCCCTATTTGACGGAGACAATTTGCACCCATTTTAACAGCAATTACTGTTATGTATCAGTCCTACTGGCTTGTGAAATTCTATTAAAATACAAAATCAGTTAAGTTAATGTATTTTTGCAAAAAGCTGCAGGAAGAAATCATTTTCRTATTGGGTAAAACAGTGATAAAAGGAAATTAGGCATGAGCACCAAGACAGATGGCATGCTACAGTTTCCAGCCTGGCTAGATAGTTAACATAAAAGTTTTCCAGGTAGCCTGTGTTCATATTGCTGCACTGTGTAGGTGAATATTGCTATTAATAATAGTGATATTTATGTTAGGAGCATTCTGATCAGATCTTGGGGCTTTGCAAATGGAAAAGGAGAGGGAGAATTGTCCCCAAGTGTAAAAAAGTTAACTTGGYAGTACATTTCAGCTTTCTTCCTGGAAGCAGGAGTAAACCCACATTTGTGGTAAATATGAGTTAATTGTATGTTTGTCATTATTGGATGCAGAGGAACATGTGAGAAAACCRCATTAAATGTGTCAGGAGGCCATTGGGTGCTCCCCCTGGTTTCTCCACACCTTCCATTCAAATTCTGTTCATTCCCATTTAAGTTGTGCTCAGTATTGTCCTCCCTGCCTGCTCATGTCCCCAGATGTGGCTGCACACAGGAATCATCTGTCAGGCCTTTGCTGCTCTGTCTTCCATTCCTCCTTCATGTGCCCAGATGCTTCTTCCAAAAAAAAGCAATTTTTCTTGCTATGAAGGAACTTCTGTAGGCTGAAATACTTCCACTCTCAGTAATTCCAGACATCTGACAGGTTCCTATCTGTTGTAAATGTGGATTATAAACTCAAATCCAGCAGCAGATGAAAGATAATSTAGTAGAAACAAGGTAAAAATCGATTTTTGGCAGCAAGCATTCTTTGTCTAGTCTGCAGATGTGCTAGATAGTTCAGGGAAGAGAACCAAACTCTTCCTATCTGTTATCACTTCTTTTCCTGCCTTTTTCTGTTCTCCACTTAGTTTTGCTTTTTTAAATATGAGGAAGGAAATGTTGTCTCCTTCACTGGATCCTGTTGTTATTATTATTCACAGAAACAAAAATAACATTGAGCATACTTTATAATACAGGTGATATATATAATATGTATTATTGATAAAACTTTCCAAAAGGARTCTTCCAGAAAACAGATCATCAGGTCAAAGGGGCCAGTGCATCCCATCTGTTTGGTCCACACTTCATTTCAGGATGGGAAGCCAGGTTTGGGGAGGTTGTGGGAGCACAGAACTTTTGAGGAACTCTTGCCATGTGTGTTTGCCTTCCCTCAGCTCCTGCCTGCAAAAKGAGATCCCAAAGAGTGGCTTGGAAAAGTGCCCCAAAACTGAAAAGATTGGGTCAGTCTGGTGCTGGTTACAGGAACAGTTGATGGGTRTGGAATGCTGCTTTTCTCTTTCAGCAGAATATTTTAAAAATACAGCAGAAATGAAAATAATTGTGTGCTGACTGTACTCCTGCATCTCTGAATGAGATGGTTTTGGTTTGAAGCTTCCCTTTCCTTGTTGCCACCCAAAGTACAGGGAGCTGCTGGTGGGGAGAGAAAATCACATAAATCAGTGAGTTTTTGGTAATGTTCTGTAACCAAATGAAAGGAATAGTCTAAGAAAGTACGTGGGGGCAGTAAATATGTAGGTGACAGGAAGTTGCAGAAGTAATAATAAAGGATCTGTTGATTTCAGGAATTTAAAGTAAAATTATTGCACTTTAGTTTCTAGTTAAGCCTTGTAATTTAGTTTCTGATTTACTTGCCTGAGTGTGCAAGGTTCCCAGRTTGGAATGGTGCTGTATTAGTGATTCCTCCCAGCCAAAATCTTGGCATTTGGGCCATATTTTGAGAGGCAGTAACAGAATCACTCAGATGGTTATTTCAGCCTTCATTCCTTGCCCCAAGATTGCCCCCTGATTTAGTGTTGTACGGTAGAATTTCTTTCAAATTAAATCCTTGTAAGAACCAATGGGTTACCAAAATATAAACAAAACCCAAGAGTTTGAAAGGGAACCTGCTGCTCAGAATGTGCTGGGAATTAATGAGCAGAGGTAGAGTGAGAACATTGATATTCTTCTGCTTGACTGGAAGTGACTGAAGTGGAGGTAACAAAATAGCTGTGACATGCAAAATACTTCCCAGAAGATCTTCACTGAGGATGAAAGGGTATTGATGAAAAACTAACAGCAGTGGTGTCTCCCTAACAATCTCTGYAGGACATGATGTTCTCTCTCCTGTGCTGGGTGCAGGTAAATGAATAATCCGTGCCTGATGTGAGAACGTCTGGGAAGGGAGAATTGGGATGGCTCGAGTGAGGTGAGGGAGCAGCAGCCTCTGAGAGTGTCTCCATCCCTGGAGAAAGTTCTTTCTTTTGGATATCTGCTGTCAGTAAATTGAAATAATTCAGGTTTAATTGTGGATGGTTCTGACTTAAAAAAAAAATACAGCTGTGTGGAGAATGCCAGTAACCACAGAAGCTGAGTTTTCCAAGGCAGGATGCCAGTTAAAGTATGTAGCCTGTTGTCTTTTGAATTCTGAGCTGGGCAAACCTCTGAGAATTGACAATGTCTTGTTTTGAAGAAGGTGAGAGAGAGGTGGAGGACATGGAAGATTTCCATAAACAGATTAAGTAAACTTCGAAGTAAGAGATTGTTTGCAAGGACTTAATCTCAGAGCTGACTTGCCCTTGAGGAAATATATGGAATGAGGCCTGGAGGAAGCACATTGAACAACAACAGGTTGCCAAGAAGGCAGAGGTGTACAGAGCTCGTGTTCAAATATGCTTTTAAAATTAGATTTGGATTTTAAAAGTGAAAGTGCAATAATATGAGCAAGTTGCCTTACTTTGTATAATTTTTAATGCGTGCAGACCTCAAAGTAGCAACATGCAGTTACACTGATTGACTTTACTTGAAGTTCGTTGTGGTCCTTCAGCAGGAGAGTGAAAAAACACATGTAGCTCCATGCTTATAGCCACCTGCATCAATTAAATACAACATTTTTTAAAACAGCAGAAATAATCCTGGAGGATTTTTAAGTGCCTAATCTACAAATGAGGAAAATACTATCATATCACCAAAAAAATCTCTAGTATTTTGAAGTTAGTCTTTCATTTTCATTACGTACCTCACATCTGCGTCTTCAAACAAAATTACAAATTACAATAAAGCCAACAGCAATTGAATTTGATTGGCTTGGTCATCAGCCTTTCTTCTTCCAAAGCTGGAAACCCTTTCTTCAAAATGGTCAAATCTCAGAAGTTTAGGTGTGTTTCCATTACAGTCCTGTGGTACAAGCTTTTCTGTAATCTTGATTTCCTTACAGATTTTTTTTGAGACAGAGAGATTAGAAATGAAKGGAGATGGGAACTGGATGGGAGTATTGGTATTACTGAACTGGGAGTATTAGTCCAGTTCCAAATGACAGAAGGAGCTCAAGTGTTTTTCCAGATCACTTCCTCAGTGTTCAGAAGTGTTGGTGACCTCAGTCATTTCCAGAAGGTGAAAATGTCATTTGAGTCATTGGAATTGACCATATAAATGTCTGAAAATGTACCCTTAGCCCAACCTGGGTAAAGGTGTTCTTGTCTGTTAGCTGGGAAGATACTTTTATCCTTCCTTGYTTACCTAACTCACAGATGATTGCAGAGAGGTCATTAGTCTAAAATATGCATTTGATCTTTTCTGCTCTCTGCTGCCCTTGGATCAGCATCAGAGACAATTCTCTTCACTCAGTGCTGCAGTGGTTTCTGAGCCTGATTGAGCTGCAAGAGCTGCAGAGGGAGAGCAGTCTCATCTCTTGAGCTGTGATGCTGCCCTAAGTGTGTGTTCTTCACTCATCACTCAGTGAATCTCAAACTTTATTCCATGAGAACGGGTTTGTTCAGTTTTTTTGAAACGAGCTGAGACTGCTCACGTGAGCCTCAGAAGTGTGGGATAGAAGGAAGTTCTTAAACTGGGTAAGCTTCAGGTTAAGAAAAAAATTGTTTGGAAATTTGCTCTTAAAGATTTGTGGGCACAGATGTTTGGTTTTCTATCAAGGTCTGGGTCTCACCAAACTGGGGTGGTAATTCACATTAGTCCTCAGAGTACATTTCCAGCAATTTGAATTACCTGAATATTTCCTTTTATTACAGATGATTCTTGATCTCTGTTTGTACTTACATGGATTGTAATCATAATGTAATACAAATTGATTTCTGTCCCTGAGAGCTAATGACAGACCCAGTTTCTTTGAAATGCTCARATTGGTTGTACTGTGTGTCTCATGCACAGCCAAAGGACAAAGCTGGCACTGAGAGAGGGAGGTCAAAGAAAAAATATCTTTTGCCTTCCTGGTGGTTTAAAACCTTCTGAAATGGTTGAGATCCTTGAATAAGGKTACTAAATAATCCAAAAAAAGTACGTGACCCTACGCAGCAAGTTTTCTGTTCTCCAAGGCCAGGACTATTGCATGCAGGACGTTGTACCCTGGAGGAGGCTGAGGGGWTGGATGCACAATCTGGGTGATTCCTCTTTATTTGCTTTCATCCTCATTGATCTCAGCTCCTGGGGTCAGGGGCTTAGCTAGAAATTGCTGGCTGACGTACAACTGTTAGTGAAGAACATTTACCTGAGCAGAGCAATAGAAAATAGAAGTCAGATTCTTGTCATTAACTGAAGTTTTGGGTTTTCTTTTAAGATGAAGTGGCACTGATTTTGTTCAGTATTACATTGCTGGACAGGTTTGTGTGTGCTCACTGTCAGCCTTGTCGATGGAGGTGTTTTGGCAGTCCCTGTCTCAGTGTTGTGCTGTCTCCTCAGCTCTGGAGCAGTGTGGCCATGCCCAGCACATCCTTTCCCATCTTCCTTAAAACCTCACCATAACTGTGCTCCCCTGTGCCTTTTCACTCACAGACCATCGTGTGTTCTCTCTGTTCTGTCTCTGCTCTTTGGCTGTGTTTGACATATCACAGATCTATCACACATGTGTATGTTCTGATTTAAATAGAATTTGTCTGCCTTAAGATGACACASATGACTGCAAGACATGGTCTTTGTGTCTTAATGAGCAAATAAAGTCCAAATCCATGAAAGAGCCAACATATTAATCTTGACTTTTAATGTCAAGGTGTACTGTAGCAGGACACAGGTTGGATCCATTTGGGTTCCCCTGGCAGATGTTTTCCCTGATAATTCATGTCATCATTTTGTAAGGTAGTAGTAGTTTCTGAAGGACAATGAACTTCTGCTTTCCCCAGCCTCCTCATCATTATTAATCTGTCATTAACATGACATTTTTATTCATGCTTTTAACAGCTCTGCAGAGCCCGTTGTGCCGAGATGGATCCTTCAAACGGATAAATGCAAAATCCAGCAATGTCAGTGCTGCCCCATTGTAACCACAGGCTCTCATTTTATCGTTGCAGGTTTATCCAAATTTACAGGGGACCAAGCCACACGTACAAGGTCCAGAGGCTGACAGAATCCACCTGTTACTCGTTCAGAATACAGGCAGTCAACGATGCTGGGGAGGGCCCTTTCTCAGAGATCTCCACCTTCTGCACAACCAAGTCACTCCCACCTGCAATCAAAGGTGGGTAGTGGGGTTTTTTACTCACATTTAAATAACATGTAAATATTTATGTCATTGGTAATTTTGGGGTGAGGTTGTAAGGGTTACCATGAGTATGTAGTAACACCAGTTTGTGCTGGCTGTAAGTTTCTCTGAGCTAAATCACCACCCAAAAAATCACACAGGCAACATAAATGTTATTGCAGCCACTGTTGTAATACATGAACTATTAAAATGCTGCTGATAACAATCATGTTTATTAGGGGATTGCTCTGGATTACCACAGCATTTGTACAAGAGACCTAACAGCTGTTGTAAGTGTGTACCTACCCACTTAAGCTATAGTAAAGTTTAACATTTTTAGTTGTGTAGTTGATGTCCAAGGTAGACCTTCAGGGTTTATTTTTCCTTTAATGTATAAAATTAATTATGATATTTCGCATATAGAGCACTAGGCTTAAACCTCAGCATGTGTTCCACTAGAAGAACTAAAGGCCTAATTAAATGAAGTTTTATGATGAAATGTCTTACTGTGTGTAAGTTTTTGTCCTAAGTAATTATGCTCCTGAGGAGGAGGAGGAAGGAGCAAAAGTGGAAACAGTAAAAACCACAGCAAAAGATGTTTCATTATAAAACTTCTGTAATTAGTCCTTTTGTTCTGGGCCTAATTAGGTCCTCTTTGGTGTATCACAGAGGCACTGGGTTTGCTGTATGGACTGTCAGATCAGCTGAGCTGAAAATCAAATGCACTTTTTTTTCTGGGTGCTGAAATCTCCTCTGCCAAGCCCTCCCATTTACTGAGAGAAACRACTGTCAGTCTGTCAGAGGGGTTTTGTTTGCTTCTCTGTATTTAAAATCTGGCTTTGGTTTTTTTGACACCTTTTGTAAGGGAATATTCAGAGAGGGGACAACACCGTGAGTCCASGTCAGCTCCTCTGAGTCACCCCTGGGGAGAACAGCACTGTCCAGCAAAAAATACCTGTGTGCTTGAGGGTAAAGATTTTTTCCAAAAAAAAAAAAATCAGGGTGAGTTCTCCTGCTTCACACCTTTGCACAGGTGTGGGATGTGTAGGGTGACCCAGGATGCCAGCACACACCGTAGTCACCTTTGCATTGCGTTGGATAAAAATCCATTTTGTTCAGTTCCCTTCACCTGGGTTTTTGTTTTGAGCTCCCAGTGTGCCTGTGGAGCTCCTGTTCAATGTGATTCATCCCCTGTGCTGAGTGGCAGGCATAGATCTGGTGCAAATACCAGGTCGTGTGTGGGCTGGGACCTCGGGTACCAACAGAGAAAAGGGCACCACAAACCCTGTKCTGGTGAGCCCTGCTGAGGGAGGTGATGCTGTAGGGATGAGTGGATGCAAAATGGTGTTGATTCCCTTCTCTGCTATAAGCAATACAAARGAATTCATGATAAACTTAGTCTGGCTTTTTATCTATCAGAAGAGAGTGTTTATTGTCCTATAAGGTCTCCTAATTACTCACTTAGTGATGCCAACCCTGGAATAGCTTTGTTGTTAATGGCAGTGTTTTGTAAGTGTCAGACAAAAATCTAAATGTATGGAAGTGAGGGATGAAAGGAGAAGGAAAAATAATTGAGATTGTTGTTGTCAGCTGAGATGAAGGCGTCTATTATCAGTCTCTCGACACGAGCAGATGTGCAGAGGGAAGTAAATGGATATTGATTACATTTGGGTCTTCATGAGTCATGTGTTCCTCTTGGGAAGTAACAAATCAGTCTGAAATTCGGGTAATGCATGCAGCAGCACTGGTTTGGTTGGTAGCCCCTCCTGTTTGTTTTTGTAGGGCTGGGGATCCAGATTGCCTTTAACAAGCTCGTGTCCCTGCACGTGCT